ACACCCCTAGGCGCCAGCCCCATGGCAAGAAGAAATACATTACAATTTTTTTTTTTAATATTTAACAGAGGTTGCTTAATTAAACTAGGAGCTATTACTCTTGGAATTTCCGCTATCTGAAGACGTTATCCTCTAGACCTTTACCAAGAGCGCTACTCTCAGACCTCCGCTCTTATAGCTAGAAAATCTTTTTTATTAAAACTAACATAGTTTTATTATTTAGACTAATCCACGCTTCTACTTTTTATTTTAGACTAATCCACGTTTCTATATTTTCAGCGTCGGAGTAGCTTAAACTTTTTAACTAATCCGCGCTTTAAAATATCACTAGCTTCGACTAGCGCAAGTTCAATTGCCTTGTAGTCTAAAAACGTAAACTTACGTTCTTTCCACTTTTCCAAATATCAAAGTTAAAGCGAAAACAAGCCCCCGCTTCAACAAATATTAGAACGGAAGGTGATTTCTCCGAAGCACCAGATACTACCATAAACGCAATGCATGCGACTGGGTCGGGGTCATAGTCGGTGCCGATGCCAGCAAGCCCGCGCGGGGTCATGACGATGATCTTCCACGAAATTGAACTAGCACAAGAACAACGTCCCTCCCAGTCGGCTTCCAAAATGCGAGCGGAATTAAACCGAGCAGCAGAGAACGGTGAGTGAGTCGGTCGGTCGGCGGGGGATGAAGATCAATATTCAGGAAGAAGATTAGTGAACATTGAACAGCCGAGCAACAAGACGGGAATAGCTGCGATTCACGAAGCGAAAAGATTGACGAGGCTGTTCCAGTCACATAAAACTCCAAAAGCCCCCGCCTGCCACTACTGCCAGGGCAGTTACCTACATAGTGTACACACATCGCACCCAGCCAAAGCATTCTTCATCATTCAGTTGTGCGTTCGTGTACGTATCACATGCTTTATCCGCGATTGTACCTATCGACCGACATACATACATCTCTGCTCTAGAGGCACAGAGCATTTCCGACTGCCGGCTTCCGACGACGAAAACATCACATCCACCTCTCTCGTCACCGTCCTCATCCTCATCCTCCTCGTGCGCCTCACTTGCTTGCTCGCCCACTACGATAAAACCCCGCGCACGCCCTCTCCGAAGCCAATAGGTAACATGTCAGTGTTTTGAGGTTGTACAAACCTCATAGGTGTACACTGTGACTTCCACTTGCGACATACAACCACCGGGCTGCTACCGGTAAGTAACTCAAAAAGCGGGGCAAAGGAGAAAAAGCGGTTGGGACTTAAATGAGAGATAGAGATATCAGTGAGCGACAAGTCAAGCACAAGCACCTGCCTTCGGTGGTTGGTGATATTACCATCCAGTTTCACCTTCGCCAAGGATCATCACGCTCGGTCAGACTCTCGGACTCGTCGCTCAGTTAGCAACATCCACAAGCGACTGGACACCGAACGAGAACGGGAAGTGTAATACGGGGTGAAGGAAAAGAAAACACTATACCACCAAAACTGGTATAACCAACCGGTGTGTACGTACACTAGTTAAATAAGTGACAAGTTCGCTTGGGGAGACAGGCAGGTAAGTGAACGACGACAACATTGAACTTCTCTTCCCTGTTTCTGTGTAATACACTTACGCTTACAAAGAAACATTACGCGATCAGCCAGGGCTGAATTCCTTTTATAGGTAGTACCCAATTCTCCACCAGTACTTACCTTGGTAGCTTACTTGAGGTGTCTTTGGATTATAATGACTGGCTGGGGGTCCTCAGAAAGAAGATCACCACCTCCAGAGAGAGTAAGAGATTAGTTGCCTTACCGTTTTGGGAGGAGACATTAGCTCTTTCTTGAAAGTCAAAACCGTCAAAGGCTGTTCGTTCACATCAAAAGGTCTCAGGAGAAGAGTCAAACCTCCTCTTGATCGACCAAGCCTGTCACTCAAACTTCACTAATCTGCTTACTCAACGACACCAAAAACCGAACCACCAAAATCAAAACCAAAACCACGAACAAAAATGCTAACGCCAATCCACCTCCTGGCTCTCCCCCTCCTCTACCTCCTCTCCCGCCTCCTCTTCACCACCCTCCGCCGCCTCCGATCCCGCTCCCTCGGCTGTTCACCCGTAGCAGTCTACCCCCACAAGGACCCCATTCTCGGGTTGGACCTCTTCCGGGACACCTTGCGAGCCATCAACACGCATACTTTACTGCAACTATGGAATGACCGCTTCAGGAAATATGGCAACACGCACTACACCCTGACGTTGGGGAAATGGGTGCTGATGACGAACGAGCCCGAGAACGTCAAGCTGATTCTGGGTACCAAGATGGATGAATGGCCGCTTGATGGACCAAGACTGCATGCGGCGGTGCCGGTGTTGGGGAGGAAGAGTGTTTTTACTACTAATGGGGCTCAGTGGTATGTCTTTTTGAATCAAGTCGTCGTGGAAGCTGGCGAGTTACTGACAGGCTGTTGTAGGCGCGAAGCCCGAGGAATGATTCGCCCTTCGTTCGTCAGAGACCAAGTCGCCGACCTTCACTGCTTTTCCAAACACGTTGGCAACTTCCTCAACGCCATCCCTAAGGATGGGTCGACCTTCGATATGCAGGAACTCCTGCTTTCCATGACCATGGACTCGTCTACCGATTTCCTGCTCGGCTACTCCACCAACTCGTTGCTCAAACCCTCACCCGAAGCAAAGCAGTTCCTCGAGGATTTCGAGTACACCAGCCGCGAGGCCGCCAAGAAGGCCAGGCTGGGCTCGCTTCTCCTGTTGTTGCCGAACGGCGAGTTTAGAGCGGCCGTGACAAGAGTGCGCGAGTATGTACGAACCTATATAAGGAAGTCCCTGGCGGAGAAAAGTGCGAAGAAGGAACGGAATTACGTTTTCCTGCATGAGATTATCAAGGCCGGCGCCGATGAGGAGCATGCCATTGATCAAGTCTTGTCCGTCATTATTGCCGGGAGAGATACCACTGCTGCGGCAATGACGGCGTGCTTCTACCACCTCGCTCGTAACCCCGAGACTGTGCGGAAACTGAGAAAAGAGATCCTTGATGTGGAGGACGAGATGCCGGCCTGGGAGCAGCTCAAGAATATGAAATATCTCAAAATGGTAATCAAGGAAGGTGAGAACCGCACCCGGAGGATAGCACTCACAAAGAGGTTGGCTGATTGCTAATAACGACTTCAAGGCTTGCGGCTGTTCCCTCCCGCCTCCACGAACTCCAGAGCGCCAGTCAAGGATACTGTCCTACCCCGAGGTGGCGGTCCGAATGGCAAGCAACCCATCCTTGTGCCCAAGGGACAAGTGGTCAGGTGGTCGTTATACAGTATGCATAGACGTAAGGATGTCTTTGGAGAAGATGCCGATGAGTTCCGCCCAGAGAGGTGGGATGAGAACCTTCGGACCGGGTATGTGCCTTTGCTTTCCCCTCTGTTACTCTCCTTCTCCGGAACTTCTTGTGGCTAACACAGCTTCTTCCTCGTTGTACAGATGGGAGTACATCCCGTTCTCCGGAGGCCCGCGCATATGCCTGGGCCAGCAGTTTGCGCTCACCCAGATCGAATATGCCCTCTTCAAGTTCTTCCGCGCCTTCAAGAGCATCGAGTGCCGGGATGCCGACGGTCCTCTGCTGCTTCGCACAAATCTCACCGTCACCTTTGCGAATGGTTGCTTGGTTAGTGCGATACCCGACTCGAAGTAGGTAGTGACACCTCTGAGAAGAAATTGAGGGCGCAAGGTCGAGGGATGGCGTCAAGTAGCATACGATTTGGTTGTTGCTTCCGGTGCTCCGGATCAAGGTCTCGGAATAGGAGGAACCACTTGGTATCTCGGCCAGTGCTGGGCGCACAGGAAGCGTTTGCGTTTGCTTGTTTTTTTTTTTGCTAGTTCTGTTGTGTTAAGTCACACAACATGTCATACGGAATATGAGGAGTGTATCGCCTTGTACGACAACGCCAGATTTTCCGAGTAATCTTGCAATAACAATAACGGCGGCTGAGCTTGACAAGCGTCCTTGCTACCTGTCGGCTTGACACCTGCTGCACCGTTAGCCATGGATGCGGGCCCAAGCACCCGAGCAGACCCCCAAGTTTGAGTTTTGTATCGAGTTATCTGGATTTGGTCGATCATGTTGGCTCGTCTTTTTGTTCGAGTGCTGTGCCTGTTGTGCCCGATATTCTCCTTGGCTGTTGCACGGCCTTACGAATGGTAGCTTGTCTAGGCGCAACCGACAGGATGAGAATGTGGCTAACCAGGAGGGACCTTGCGCATAGACCTGTGCCATGTCTTTGAGTGGTGGTGAGAAGTCGCCATGACCCTGACTGTGTAGATTGGTGTTCCGGTCTGTTTCTCTCCAATGATAGCCTCCTTCGTCACTTAAGAAACCTAGTGGTTTGGCGCAAGACGCAAAGAATCAGCATCAACATCGCGGGTTGTCCGAGATGACACTGACCGTTGGTTGCCATAGAACAAAAGAAATGCATGTGTGCCTAGAACTGGGGTTTCTCAGCTTCTTAGCGTGGTGGTTTCGCTTTAATCATGACGAAAGGCTGCGCAATGACGAGATATATGGCGGTTGCAAGATAAAGGGAATGATGAGTTGGGGATTTCAAGAGATGGTCATTGGAGGCCGATATACTTATCATTGGACAATGTCAAAAAAAAGGAGGGAACCACAGGTTCGTCATTGAGTCCGTCAGGCAAGAGCTTTCGTTGAGTCCTCACCAAGTGGTAAGTGCGAGTGTCGGGGGATTCTTTCCGATCTTGGGGTGGACTGAGTATGGCGGTAGTTGCGCTTTCCACCATCCACCTCCGACCTGCCAGACAAATGGGAGATTCGGAAGATCCGCCTTGTCTTTCTCGGCAAATCTTTCCTTTTTAGCTTTCAATTCCTCTGTCCTCTCATCTCGCTTTCCTGGAGGCAACACCGGCGATGGTTTCTCCCCTCCCTTGTACAAAGAATATGGAAGGTTCTCTCTCTCTCTATGTGATGCAAGAGTATACCCTTCTCAAGTTCGGACCACAGACATGATGACATTGCCATAGTGTCTGCCCTTCCATACATTTCCTGTTTTTCCATTGTTAAGCCACCTCGTCGTCGGCCCCGTCCACCGCCAGGCGCATCTCGGTCAATGCTGCCCTACTCGACCAGCAGTGCAGTTCATTAATCTTGCATATCTGGGGGTGGTAAGATGAGCTTAATCTGGAAGGAAGAGATGCCGACCTGACTCGCCAGTTCGAACTCTCCGTCTTATACTCGCCATGACGTGTCCAGCCGTTTGGTTCACAGACATCAGACCAACCTAGAACTTGCTCAGGCCTAGAACGCTGATGTCAACTACCAGTTCCCTGTCATCATAAGCTCGGCCTCCGCAATACATAAACACCAATGTGGAGTGCTTGAAACTCAACGCTCAGCTACCGAGCACACCAAGAACAACCGACTTGTCGTGATCCACAATACCGACACTTTGGTACTCTTTCAGATTGTCAACAGTCTGCTTCAGTCTTATTTCACTGTTGCTCTGCAGTAAGAGCTACGCATCCTCTTCTCTTCGCCAACCACCGCCTTGAACAAAAATTCATCACCCGCCTTCAGGGTCTGCAAAGGTAGCTATCCATCACGCATCCCTCAATATGGTTCCGCATACGGCAAGACACATTGGCGCTAACCATGACTGCTTGCCAGAAACCGCACACGCATATCTCCGTGAATCAAGGGGACTAAGCTCTCGAGATGGCCCAAGACGACAACTCCATCAATCACTCTCAAGATGTTCCCGACCAAGAGCCGCATTACAGGTTCGGAGCGGTTGAAATTGGCATCATTGTAGCCTCATGTGTTATTCTGGCATCCTTCTTCATCACCCGCTTCTATATCCACAAGCTACAGCGCCGTCGACAGCTAGACATGGAGTTCCAGGCCCGGCAGAGAGACCTGGAGGCGGCCTATGAAGAAGACTGCAAACAACGAGTGGCCAGCATGGTATCAGACACAGGCGCTGAGGCACCGATACTGAAGGGCAACATCACTATCCAGTCCAAGATCAACAACGAGTCTGAGAACAAGCAGATGCCGAAGCCTCCCCTTTGGCGTTACATCAACTCGAAACATCCGCGCACCGGCTCGGTCACACTCGTTATTCCTCTTCAGAACTAGAACAAGTAGGGCCGTTGAACCTACAACTTCTGTTTACCTGTGGATTATCGGTATTACGAACTTTCGTTCCAGAAGCTATCATCTCTTACTAATATCAGTTCCCACGGGCGGCTGCATGGCTAATGCAAGGGCACCCCCTTCCGACAGCATTTTCAAAGGGCGTTATCACATTTAATTTCTTCTCTGTGTTTTTCCTATTTTTTCTATTTTTATTCCGGTGGATGCAGTCAAGGATGGTGTCGATGTCAGGTTTACGTAGGTGCGAGGGAGGTGGGAACTTTACTCCGCAGCTGTCAACGTCGTTTGCAACTTTGGCCTCCCTTTTACAGCGTAAACTGCGCTTTTCTGTGGTCGTCAAGGTTCCTATTCCATTTAAACAGAAGGGGGATTTATTGGGGACACTGTCGGTTAGCTCGACAAAAGGATGTCGGTGGCCATGTGTTCCCATGCATGCATTCATCAAAGAAAGAAAGAGGAGGTGGATATCTCTTATCGATATTTCATATTCTGTCTTTCTCACCTTTTACATTTCATGATGGTGGCTATTATGTATCCATGCTGACAATTTACAATCCAATGCTGGTTTGTTTAGTTCAGTACTCCTAACGTAGGGGACACAAAGCATCCTGAAATGTCCCGAACCTCACAAGGACAATATGAATGGCTGTATACAAATTGAAAAATATAAGTAAAACCCGATATGACATATGCGAGGTAGGATTACGCTTTAGTTATAGAACAAAACGGATCGGGCAGGTATTAAAACACCTAGGAAGGTTGACCAGAGGTCTCGAGCCAACAAACAAACCAGTATTGGACTGTATGATTTGTTTGTGTGCTCGTCAGCTCGGGCTTTTGGTTGCGTCGTTTGCTTGAATACCGAATCGTCATGCGGCTGGCCGCCGAGCTTTCTTTTGTGTCTTGTTCCATTGCTGCTGGCTGTCCGTACTTGCTTTCCCCTCTTCTTTCGCTGTAGGCCAGGGAGGGCTTTCCATTACGAAGAGATATGGTTACTGTCAAAATTTCAACATGAGGCCCACCAAACCCTTCCTCCCCCGGGCTCCTTTCGTCTATTTTCACTTCCTATAACTCACTATGTGCACGACCACCCAGCCGGTTCTGCTACACTAGCGGTTATTCCGTTCGTTTGGCCTCGTCTTCTTTAAGTTGCCTTGCCGGCCAAAGTCCAAAGCCTGAAGTCAGTGGACGTGACCGTACGACCTCACCTGTTCCATGTCAAGCCGGACTAGTAGCTTGCTGCTGGAAACTGCAACCGAAATGGCTACCTATCCGCGCCAAATTGAGTGGACTCATGGGGTTTCAAGGATGTCGCTCGAAGCGGCAAATGTAGTAAGCCAAAACTGGTTTTTGAAGATATCTCGCGAGGTCAGTAGCTTTCTAGGTATTGAAGTTCAACGAGAAATTTTTATAGATTCCCTGTTTACCTATTAACTGCTAACCAAAGGCATGGCTAGGGGCTCAACGATGCCAGTACCAACGGTAAGCTCCATTTACTCACTTCACATTGGGCTATTCATATCCTCCTTTTTCCCTCTATTAACAAATACTTACCACGTACCCATTTGCGCGAGACAGTCAGGCCAGCCGGAACCCAGCAGAGTACAGCAGGCATTCGCAACCATTCTTACCATGAAGAGATTGCGCAACATCATATAAACAGAGGAGGAGGAGGAGGGGGGGGAGGGCAACGGCCACCCATGTGACAACGACGATGATGAGGGTATGCTCGGTGGTGAAGGATATCTACGTACGAGTGGGGATATTGAAAAATCTGCTGCGGGAGACCCAAACCGCCGCTTTCAATCATCCATCATAGGCCAGAAGAAGAGGAAATTCGAAGACAAAAAGTGAGTACACACACATATACACACGCATACAGTGTTCCTACCACCCAGTTCGATATAGTCGATGGTCTCATGAAGACGATCTTTCCGTTGTACTTCAGAAAAAATGACTAACAAAGTCCCGCCGGCAAGTAGTAACCACTATAGCAATGGCAATGGCAACGTCAACGTCAACGACGAAACCGCAGCAGCACCAGACCACGCATCAGCCGGTGACTCTTCAAAGGACAACTGTACATGGGGGATCTCCACCCCTTTCTACAGCGGTGGCGGCGGCAGCAGCGACTGTAGAACCAACAAACTAAAGCGCAACAACAGTAACAGCGCCGAACTGATGCTTCAGGGTGTTTCTTCTAGAAGTCCCACGCCTTTCTCACAACGATCAACACCGCAGAATTCTTCTGAAACCTCGTTTGGTTATGGCTTCGGCGGTCATGGTGGGTATTTCCAGTCTTGTGAGGACTGTTTCGTTGATGGGTTGCGCTGTGGTCATCTCACTACGGCGGCGACGGCGACAATAATTATGCCTGATGGTAGAGGTGGTTTGATCCGTAATGGCGGCAATGGTAATGGAAATGGAAAAGACAGGGCTGCGCATGAGCGGCATGAGTGGCTTGTTGAGCGGATGAAGGAGAGTTTGGCCAAGATTGATTGTGCTGCTGGTGGTGGAAGTGCTGTGGGTTCGAGGAAGAGTGCTTGATGTACGATCGGCGTCAATGTCGCCCGACTAAGGTGTTTGTGACTTATGTATTGAGTTTATTGTTTATAGCATCCAAAACCATCAATACACGCGCGCACCTCTTTGATGTCCTGGGCGTCGTCGATTTTCTCGTGGGCGAGCCCCACTTTAAGTCTACTCTACTCCTCAGGCACATCTCCAAAACGATACTGCGCCCACGCAAAGCTGCCCTCATGCAACGTCCACGTCTGCACGCCCTTATCCTTGCCAGCACAACCTGCCGCTATGAAGATTGGCATTAAGTGATCCATGAATGGGTGCGCTTGTCTCGCATCCTTCCTCTTCGCCGCCTCCCTCATCCTCTCCTGCCTTCCTTCCACATCACCCTCCACGGCCTCCTTCAGCGCGTTATCAAAGCTGACCGCGTACGGCAGCGGCCGCGGGTCGCCCCAAGTAAACTGCATATCCCGCAGGTTATGCACCGTCATTCCCGTGCAAATGATCACCACCCTTCATCCCTCAGCTCCTCGACGGCCTGGCCCAGACGGTAGTGCGCGTCCGGATCCTCGGACTTGAACAGGGACACCTGCACCAGCGGTACGGTGATGGCTCGGTCGGTGCCAGGCGGGAACGCAACGTTGAACCCGGAGAAGACGCCGTGGTCCAAACCGCGCTTGAGACCCTTGGATCGGATATCGGCTTTGGTCAAGAGCTGCTGGATCTTGGCGGCTAGCTGGGGCGAGCCGGTGGTGGGGAAGGTGGCTTTGTAGAAGTGATCGGGAAAGCCGTAGAAGTCGTAGATCAGGTCGGTTGGACCGCCGCCGTTGTTGAGGTGGATTTCTGAGGGGGTGTCGGATTGCCAGTGCGCGGAGAAGACGACGACTGCCTTGGGTTTGACCTTTTGGATGATTTCTTTGCCGATGGACTGCAGGACAGGGTAGACGGGGTGTTTGGTGTTGTATTGGACGTCGGGCTAGGAACAGTGTTAGTTGATGACGGCCGATGGCTTCCGGGTTATGCATATGTGTGAAGTGTGGAATGAGTGAGTGAGTGTGTGAAGGAACTTACTCCTCCGTGAGAGAAAAAGTATACAGGTGGTCTGCCCATTTTGGAGGAGGATGTCAAGTTTGCTGTGGCGGTTTGAAGCGGTGAAGTAGTGGTGGTGGTGAGATTGGCCTTGGGGGCGTTGTTAAAAGCCGTGGTAAACTTGTTGAAGGTTTCGCTTCGGACCCGGGAGAATAGGCCGCGAGCGGTTGAGGAGGAAGCCAGGATGATCGCCAGGGCGGCAACGAGGACAGGAACGATCATAAGAGGTCGGCTACTGCGTGGCCGGGGATTATTAGGCATTTGCCTGGAAGGAGTGAAAGTGAGGCTGAAGAGATGGTGTGAACACCTTGATGACCAACGGAAGGGAAAGTTTGGTCCTATAAGAAGGGATAAGAATTTATTCGATTTAAAACCGTGTCTAAGCATCCCCGGTCCTCCGTCATCGTCGTGGTCCCATTTATGGTGGGCTTTCAACCATCAAGTGGGCAAGAAGGCTCCACTCGAGCGATAGACATTCGCAACGGAGCCCATGGATGGCATGATGTGACCTTGTTGGCTGGGTGGTGATAACCCGAAACAGGCGCCGGGAAAGGTGGTGAAGTTTGCTGAAAGATGCTCTCGTCAACGGTTGGTAACGGTTGGTAATTCAATGCACAGGCCCCCGCGCTTGCTCCGCTGCACATATACTGTACATTCACAATCTAATGCTGGTTAGTTTGTTAGTCCGGTACCCCTACACGTACTGCACTGCCCACTTCCCTTTTAACACACTGGACGTGACACATCCTATACCATCTCGGCCTCAAAAGGGCAAAAGGATATAGTTAGCTACGAATTAGAAAAACATTAATAAAATTTAATATAGGATATTTAAAATTAGATTAAGCTTTTGTTGCAAAATGGAACGGATCAATGAAATATCAAAACAATTGGGAAGGTGGGCCAGAGGTCTTAAGCTAACAAACAACCAATGTCGAACTGCTCACTACATATCCCACTGTACTGTGTAACGCCGACGGGTCCGATGTTGATGGTGTGCTTTCATGGGTTAGGGTTATGTATGAGACCAGACTTTCTCCGGCTTACCCCACCATCCGTGCCGCTGTTTAGGGCCGCTTCGCCGGGTTGCGCATCGGCCCCACGTGTGAACTTCGGATGGCACTAGTCAACTACAACGCCATCGGTGCTCCGGGAATTACCCATTGCACATCAAACTTTCGATACCGCACAACATAAAAATGGCTTCCCTCGCCCGTCGTCCTCCTCTCCTTGTCCCGGCTGTGGCCCGGCACACGGCCACCGTCATCTTCATCCACGGCCTTGGCGACACCGGCCATGGCTGGGCATCCGCCGTCGATCACTGGCGCCGCCGCCAACGCCTTGATGAGGTCAAGTTCATCCTGCCCCATGCGCCTTCGATTCCCGTCACTGCCAACTGGGGCATGAAGATGCCTGGTTGGTATGACATTGTAAGCTTACTCTTTCCTGCCTACCTGCCTCTCTCCCCCTATGTTCAAGCAAGTCTAACACACAAGAACTATAAAGTTTGCAATCGACGGGAGCGCAGAAGCTCTCAGGCGGAACGAAGACGAGGCTGGGATCCTGAATAGCCAAGCGTTTTTCCACGACTTGATCCAGAAGGAGATCGACTCGGGCATCCCGGCCGACCGCATCGTCATCGGCGGCTTCAGCCAGGGCGGCGCCATGAGCCTGTTCAGCGGCCTCACTGCCAAGCCCAAGCTCGCGGGCATAGTCGCCCTGTCATCTTACCTCCTCCTGAGTTTGAAATTCCCCGAGCTCGTGCCAAAGCCCGAGTTCAACAAGGAGACGCCCATCTTCATGGCCCATGGCGACGCTGATCAGGTTGTCAACTATAAGCTGGGCACCATGAGCCGTGACTTGCTCAAGGAGTTGGGGTACAATGTCAAGTTCGAGACCTATCCGTAAGTACCGTCCTCGTCGTTTCTATCTCGATTTTTTGAGAATTTCTCTTTGCTGACTGCTTGGGAATACTAGGGGCATGGGTCACTCTGCTTGCGTAGAGGAGTTGGATGCGATCGAGAATTTCTTGGCCGAGAGGCTGCCCAAGCAGGCTGATAAGTCGGAGCTATAAGTGTTTTTATGTTTGATGTGCCAAGGTAGCGGGACCTGCTTGACATGGAGCCTTGCCTGTTCTTTTCCTATAGATGAACCTTGATACAGCCTGGGTAAATACCTATTTTGGGTTCAAACCTTTGCCTGCCTTGTGTGTGTTGTTGGACGTGTTGTCTCGAATTCTCGATGCATGGTTTGGGCATCAGGGAGATTCAGGGGCTGTTATTGGGAGTGTTTACATATCATGAACTCAGAACTCCTAACAGGTGTCATTGGCCAATCGTCCATGCACCCCATGTCCAAGGGCATCATGATCGTGTAAACACACCTGGCAGGCTTGCGGTTTTCGTCTGGACGTTGGCGATGATGAAACATGATGGCTCCCGTTTCACAGCACTTGTCTGGACAGCGATCTTCCCCAGATGCGGTTAGTCAATCTTATCAGTGGAGGTGGGCTTGCGAGTCCAGTGACAGTGGCCCGCTGATGCTGGGCGTTGTCAGTGTCACAAGCCTTGTGAAGGTTCGCTGGGTTCGAGGAGTCGTGGCTCCATCCGACGCTGGAAACTCCACTGCCAAAATGTCCAAAAAATCGACGGGCCATTTGGACATCGTCCTGTCACCTCATCCCAGCAACCCATTGCATTGCCCAACAATCGGGCTCGAACTGACAGCAGCCACTTGCACTCGTTTTCGTACTTTCCAGGTTGTTTTTTTTGGGCAGAGATCGCGATTCTTTGTTCTTGGGTGAAACGTTTTATAAATTATAGCCTCAAGAGTTGTCAATAAGGGACCTTGATGGCACCCTCCACATTAGAAAAAAAAGCACTGTCCCTTGCGCACCTCATCGCGAGCACGGGCTCCCTACAACCTCTACCACCTACCACCTACGGATAGCGCATATCGCCCACGGCCACCCACATTTTAGAGGCGCCTTTGGACCGGGGGATCACAAGTCTAAAACGGACCTAAACACCAAAAGGGTTCCACCGTCCCCTCTCACAGCGGGGGCATCTCGTACCCAGAATCCCAGATTCCAGATACCTATCCGCTAGCCTGTTGCGATCATCGTACCATCCGAGCCGAGTGTGCCAACCTCCTACGATCAGGGCCATCACTTCTTTTTTTATACCTACGAGACCTTTGCTGGCCTTCTTCCCTATGTGGCACAACCCCGAGTTTTGCGACCTCGAGTAAACAAAAATTCCGTCTCCGTTTCCTATCTCGACCGACGCCCTCGAGATCCGCACCACGACCTCCAGAGTCTAGACTTCCAGCGCTCCAGCCCACCGAAATACCTAGAGGCAAGCAGCCGCCTTGTCTGCTTCTGCTGGTGTAATCATGGCGCCCAAATCACCTCCCTCGCCAACTCTCTCACAACTACCTCCGGTGCCATCGAGCCCAACTTATTCATACGCTTCTACCGCAAACCCAAACCTATCGCAGTTCAACCTGCCACTGCCGCCTCCGCCTAAGCAGGCGCATGCTGTCCTTACCAAGCACGATCTCGAAGCATCACAGGCCGCATATGCGGACCTCCTCTCCTCCGCCAAGGCCTTCCGCCTGGCCCTTACATCGCTCTCCACTGCTGCCTCCGCCTTCGGCTCTGCTCTCGAATCCTGCGCCCGTCTAAAAGAAGCCCGCGCCGAACAGATCGTGTCCGACCCGCCCAATCGAGGCGGAAGTCCGGTACAAGGCGGCCAAGGTCAAGGCGGCGGTCCTCCCCCGCTGTTGATGAACAACAGCTTCACTTCTGCAGCCCAGGGCACCACAAAGTCCACCTGCACGGCCGACACCCTGCTTACCGTCGCTGGCCTACAGCACCTCGTTGCCAACCACCAGCACATTCTGTCCGAGACGGTCTACCGCTCGTTCGAGGTACCTCTTCTCCACGAGTTAGACAAGTGGCGTGGCGCGGTTGAGGATGAAGAGGAAAGCTACGCGAGCGCGGTGGCCGTGCAGTCCAAGGAGATCAGTCGGTTGGAGAAGGAAGGGATGAAGCTGCACAAGCAGCGCAGGAGGGACGTGGCCAAGTTCCGGAGCCATCTCGTCGAGTTGACCACTAAGTTGGACGGTCTCACAACGCTGCATGGCGAGCATTCCAGGACGCTCTTGAGGGAGAGTCAAGACACCAGCGCCCGTATCGTGGAAGCGAGCTGTTCGCTCGTCCGAGCCGAAGTCGACATTTTCGAGAGTCTGGCGCGGAAGGGGTGGACAGGTGGTGGACTTGAGGATGTGCTGGAACAGGGCCAAGATCTTTTCGCCAGCGAGGATGTGATCCCGGACAGGACCGTTGGGCATTCTGACGGCAGGTTTGGCGGGACAGGAGGCAACATCGTTGCAGGTGGTGCTGGCGACGGCGGCATAGCGAGCGGCGGTGCCGGTGAGGGAAGTAAGCTGTTCAGCATCCTGCCGCCAAGGAGTATTCTTGCCGATACAACAGGCGGTGGAAGAGAAGATACACTAAGACTGGTAGGCAGCCATCATCATATGAGATTAGACGCTGAAGACAAGACTAATCAATACCCCCAACAGAGCCTTGCGGGCGCTATTCACTCCCCCGACAACCAATCGACAATCGTCTACTCTCCTCACACACCCCCACGAGACAAGGACTCAGAAAGTGTCTTTTCCTCCGAAGGCTTCAACCGTACACGGGGACCACGTCCCTTCTCCCCTCAACCACAGCCTCTCGCCCTAAACCCCAAGTCCCTCTTCGGCGCCTCCGACCCTCCATCCCCCACCACCGGGTCCCGACGAAACGACGAAGGAGAACAAGACGCTCTCTTCTCCCCACTCGGCGCCCAGTCTCTCACCCTCCCTCTCCCCGGTAGCAACGGCAACGAGGGCGACGAAGACGACGAAGCCCTCGTCTCTCCCTGGCGCGACCAGATTCCCTACCGTTTCCGCCCGCCCACCGAGCCCGACGAGGAACAGCAGCAGCAACAACAACAGCAACAGCAGGAGCCAATCCGGCCGCGAAGCAATCAAAGCAGCAGCAAGCGAAGCAGCTACTCCGGCCGCCTCAGCATCTCGCTCGGCATCAACCGTTCCCTGACCAGCAGTTCTTTGCAGCGGCTCCAGCACCCGTCCGCCGCCTCCACCTCCGCCCTCCCGTCCGAGGAACACGAGCTGAGGGACGGAAGCTGGAGCTACAGCGGGCGCCCCGGCTCAGCAGGCGGGATGTTGAGCTTCGTGTCCGCCTCGAGAATGGATGTCGCCACCGGCACCGGCAGCGGCAGTAACAATGACTCAGACCACCAGTACCAGAGCCAGGACGAGTATACCATCCATGGCGGCGGCAGCAGTAACGAAAGGAATGGAGATCATCATCATCATCATCATCATCATAATGACGGCGAAAGGGAAAGCAAGGATCGCGACGAAGAAGAAAATGATATCACGCCGACGATAACACCCATGACTCCTCCGCCTACACAGACGGCTACGGCAACGGCTAGTTAAGGAAATTGGTTGTTGGTGCCGTCGTCGTCGCCACCGCCACTACCGTGATCAGGAGCAAAGCATGACGAGGTCGAACAAGAAGAACTGGCTTTGGCGAGATTACCTTCTACACCGTCATCTACTGGGGAGAGGAACAGGAGATGGAGTTTGGACACGGTCACGACGACGGATGCCGGCGCTAGGGGCGCCACAAGTCCAAACCTCGTTGACCTTGACGAGATTATGGGCAGAACGAGGAGCATGAGCATGAGCATGGGCACGAAAAGTATGAGCGGTACGAGCAGCAGCAGCAGTAGGAGCACCAGTAGGAGGCCGAGCACCATACGTACCGCGAGTGCTGGTTGGGGTAGCAGCAGAAGGAGGAGTACGAGTATGAACGTACCGGGCGGGTTTTTCTGATGATGAAATTTTGCGCCTTTGTTTCTTTCTGTTACGATTACGATTACATAGCTTCCAGGAGTATTTTGTTACACTAGTTTGATTAGGGGTTTTTTTTTGTTTTTTTTGGGTTTTTGGTTTGTTATGTTTGCATAAGAATATTTTTGTTTCTTTTTTCTTTTCTTTTTCAAGGTACGAGCACAAAGCATGCAGGCAGGCAGATAGATTTCAAAACATGTTGGTTTCTAGTATCCATTCCCGAGTCTTAGCAGATTGTAGTGATGGTTTACAAAGTCTGTCTATCCAAACAATGCCGAATCATTACTACAGGAATCACTGTCGTGCTTCGTTCACTGAGTGAGTGTAGGGAAGGGTAAACAACAACAGAGGTTATCCGAAACTTGAACATACGTCTCTTATAATGACAGAGCTAAAACAAGCTCAATGCATAATATCGTACTTTCTTAGTCCACGGCAACTTCTCGACTTCCACTTTGGTATCATTCCCACCATCGCGACCACCACCACCACTATCGCTGTTACCAATGCTTTACTATCAATAGCAACCTTGCCCTCAAGTGGCCCATATCATGATCCAACCATCCACTACTTTTCACAACAGCCCAATCAATAACCACTCTCACTCATCCTTATCAGCACTCAACACCTCGCCCCTAAACAACCACAACCTCGCATCCAACCACCACATCAGCTTCCAGTACAAGCTCGCCCGGTCCCAATCAAACTCCCCCGTCTCCGTCCTCGGCACCTCGTTCCCAATCATGTTGCCCGTAAACCACTTGAACAGCGGCACGTGGTTCAGCGCCCGCTGCGTGTACGACGGGGCCGGCAGCAAAGCCTGGTCGACGGGCAAGAGCCTAGCCTTGCGCACCGTCGGGATCGCCCGGCAGAACTCGCTGTCCATATCCCCATGGGCGACGTCGACGGCCGTCAAGAGCTGGTGGGCGCCGCCTGCCGTGGAGTGCGCGAGCGAGTCCATACCGTGTGTGAAGGCGCCCGCTACGGCGCCCATGGCTGCGGAGGTGATGGTTGCGCTGGAGGTGTCGGAGATGGTGCCGGTATCGGCAGTGCGGGAGGAGGAGGGGGACTGTTGGTTGTTGTCGAGGTAGGAGGTGTAGGGATTTGTCATGGCGACGCGGGAGCGTGGTTGTTGTTGCTGTTGGTGCTGGCCTGACGAGCCGCGACGGCTGTTGTTGTTGTTGTTGGCGCCGGGGGTGATGCCGTTGTTGATGAAAGCGGTGTTGTCGGGTACGGCTTCGTCGCGGGCAGGGGGCATGCCATCGTAGGGCTCGGCGAAAACGAGGTGGCCGAGGAGGGCCTGGGGAGAGGCGGTTATGGCTGCTTCGGCGGCCTCGGCGGACTCAAACGTCACCTTCACCCAGTGCTCGCCGCCGTCGGCCTTGTTGACGAGCGCGCGCTCATCGGCGGTTAGGGGCCGTCTTCGCGCGTACAGAGGGTCGCGCAGCTCGGACTTGTACCGTCTGTTCTCGGCCGGCGGGTCGCGCGGGTAGTCCTCGCATATCCTTCCGGCGAGCTGCTCGTAATGGTTGATGGCAGCGTACTGGTGTGAGACGGAGCGGTAGCCGCGTAGTATCACTTCGGTCGGGTGGTGTTTCTTGGACAGTTGGGTGGGCGCGGCGTTCTCGTCACCGAGGGAGGACGGTATGAGAGACTGTTTTCGTTGGGCGGCTGTGAGGTTCTGGTCGGGGTTCAGGTTCGCGAGGTAGTTGGAGAATACACGGTCGGCGGCGGCTATCGTAGCATCTTCCCTCCTGGCTGGCATTGCTGTCTTGGATCGCGACCGACGTGTTGACTTGCCGAAGGAGCCAGTCTCGTGGACTGTCCTTCTCGAGCGGGGACCCTCTTGGCTGTTGTTTTTCAAAAAGTCAGTATCGGAGCTGGTTTGTCAGGCCTAAGACGACGGCGGGCGGACGAACTGTGGAAACACCATGGCGTAAGGTCTTTGGATGCCGTCGTCACCGACGTAAAGCTCGTCGTCTGGGACGTTGTGGAGAATTAGGGGCGCCATGTCAGGCACGATATTGGGTTAAGGTATCTCGTCGTCAATGTGGAAAATGGCAATTGCTATGTGCTATGTGCACCGTGTTTGCTTGTGGTCGGACAACTGTGGTGATCCTGGAAAACGGTGGTAGGAGCACTTTGGGTTTTCAAGGAACAGTTCCTGACGGTACCGAGAGAGAATGTGAGGTTGTCGGGTCGGAGGGTTTCCCTGTAGACAAGAAGTGGTGGTTGTGCTGTGGTGAGGTGAGTGGTACAAATGGTGCAACAGCGAATGAAGATGCGACGCGATTTTTCGATGCGCTATCAATGCTGGAGTGCTGGAACTCAGGTTGTTGAACGTCAGCCCAATTGGGATGGATTCTTGCTACGGCAACAACAGCCTTGGCTAGCGTCCTCGTTCCCCTGTCCCCTGCCCCAGCATTGGACGGTAGCCCCTCGCTAGACGGGTAGGGTCCCGTTAGCAGCATCAACAAGTGCTTATCGATAAGAGCTGCCTGCCTGGGGCCCTGGCGTCTTGACTGCGCTGTACGTAACGCAGTAACGCTACCTATGATGCACTCTATCGCACTGCACTTACTCACCGGTGTACCTCCGTCGTCCGGAGCTTTGTTTTGTTATAAGAGACTGGCAACACTCACCCTTTCCAGTTCCACTTCTGCATGTTTCCAAGTTCTTTTTGGTCCATCTTTCAGTTCAGAAACACCATGTCGCTCAGAGAGAGGCCAGGTTCGTCCTCCAACCAGGACAGGAGAGAACCTAGATATCATGTTTATGTCCGTCTTCCCTTCAATCGGGGCGACTTCGTTGATCCTCCACCGGTATGTTTCTCCGCACTGTGTCCCTAGTCGTGACTGTGAACCACGCCGGCTAACTTGACCTCTCCAGGTGAGCTGGGACGACAGGAAATCAGAAGCGCTATGGACCATTATCTCGGGAGTATCGCAGACAGAAATTGACTGTAAGTCTACATCATCCAAAAATCCAGGTCTCATGCTAATGGTTCTGCTGTGTAGGGCATGAGCTGTGAGTCTTCCTCATCAACGGCAGTGCGCTTCTGCTTCTCGTATTGACACTGTGTTGTTATAGGGCAGTCCAGTTCGATGTCACAGTCGAGTTCCTCCTCCAGATGGTGTCCTATCTCACCGAGCGACACACTGCTCAACTGCGGGCGCAGATGAGGAAAGCCGCCGCGAACGGTCGCGGTTCCGCCGCTCCGTCACCGATTCCCGGCGGCGAGCCAGTTGGACACGCCGAAGGCATGAGACGAGCAGGTTCCATTGGCGGCCGTACCTCAGCTCTCTCCATGCGCAAGGAAGCTCTCGCTCCTAAGGACGACGTCAACAATTCTCCTGGGACACCCACCGCTAAGACATCTGCCAACTTTCTACGGCCTGCCATCTCGCGGAACTCTTCCCAAACAACCCTGGTACCGGGCCCGAACCCGAGCCTCGCTGCCCCTGTGGCTACGACAAGCAACAGGATAGCCAGCAGGTTAAGCGATTCACAGCGCCGGAGATTATCACTAACATCTATCAAAACGGGCAGAGACGTCTCCTCCGGTGACGCCACCCACGAAGGAACAACAGAAGATAACCGATCCTACCGGCCCCCAGAATCGCCATCACCCGTCGCCTCCACCTCACCATCTTCCTCCTCCGACTCAGACGACGCCGAGCAAATGCAAAGTCGCTACATCCGCCGTCCTCCACGCTTCCAGTCGGCTACGGCCCAAGACAAGACAGCTTCCGACGATGACGACGACGACGACGAACTAGCTTTCCTCCCTCCCGCTAGGACCAGACAACAACAGGAGCAACAGCAACAGCAACAACAACAATATCAACAGCCAAGATTTCAACGACAAAGTAACCCAACAACCACAGGCTCCACCTCCACCTCAGACGGCGGCGGCAGCGGTGCTCTAGACCTGCACGCAACCGTGACCAAACTCCCCCCTGAACTATCGCGACCATGGTCATCCGACAACGCCCCGGAACAGGATAGGCTCTGGATCTGGATCTCAGCAGCAGCAGCAGCAGCAGCTATATCAACAACAACAACAACAGCAAGTCAGCCACGGCCACGGCCTGAGCAGCATCAAGAACAATCATCCGCAATTATCCACGATCCAATCGCAGACTTCCGACTCGTCTACCAGCTCGGTGGCGATCATTCCTAATCCCAATCCTAATCCCAATCCTCGTCGTCTGCGACTTGCCGGCGGCGGCGCTGGTCTAGGTGCCGGTGCAGGCGGTGCAAGCGGTGCAGGTGAAAGTTCCGGAGCGAGACCTCCGGGCCCGTTGTCGCCGAGGAGGATGGATATGTTGTCACGAGAGGGAAGTGAGGGGGCGCCGAGTATGGGAAGTAGTTTCAGTGATCTTGATGGTGAGCCTTTTTTTTCACCTGTTACTTTTTGCCCTCATGTCCCGTTATCTCGTCTCTCTGGTGTCCCGTTCCCTATTTACCCGTTTTCTGTTTTCTGCACACACCCCATGATATCCTTTTCATCATTACAGCCGCTCCTCCAAAGAAGGAAGTGTAAAAAAAAAAAGTGTTGGTATGATGATGTTCTAACATACGTTCTGTCTCAACTCAACAGATGCCTCGGTAACCCAATCAGCACTCGAGGAAGCTCTAGCCAGCAGGATGCAAGACGGGACGATTGGCAGCCGGATGAGCATGATCGGGCACACCATCAGGAGCAAATATTTGCCTAGTGGTAAGGGGAATCGTCCCTAGCTAGACAGCTGAGGAGATGGTTGAACAGCAGACACTACATCAGATGTTTTGGAACCTGCGTGTGTTTCTTACGGCCATGGGAAATGTAGTGTAATATGAGTGGCAAGAGTACAGTAGAGGGAAAGAGGGGCTGAATTTCATACTTTTCTTTGTCATAAACGGAGGGGTTTCGCGGTACATGGAACTGGGTCAGGAGTTGGGACAGGAGCTCTCGGACAGGCTTCGTTGATAATGATCAGTCCATCCATCCACCAAGGGATTTCGGGATATGTAGGAAGTAATGGTAGGTACCTACTAATGGCAGCTAAATACGAATCTAGAATATGACATTTCATTGTTGCTTCCTGCCCGTCCGAGCGGCTTCATGGCGTGAAAGCCAGCCAGTACCATAGTCTATCTACATTGAAGTAACACCGTGGTATATAGGGTCGAAACAGTCCTCGTCCTTGTTCATCCGCCTCCAGGTATCTGACAACGCTATACCTATAGAGCCCTATACTATCTACAGCTAATTAGGTGCTCGAGAAATCCCTCCCCCCAACCAGATGACCAATATCAAGTCGACATGAAAAACTCTACCAGCCAAGCTCAACAAATTAAATGCGCGAAAATGACGAAGACCGCATCGCTTGCCGCTCTGATAAGAAGTCAAATCGCTCCGCGCTGATGTGGGGGAAGAAACTGAGAAATCCGCCAGATCAGAACAAACAAACAGACACACCACCCCTAACCTAACGTGCCAGTCACGGTCCCTCCCTCACATATGAACCATGACCGTCCTGTCAACCAAGCCCGAGATATCCTCCATACCTAGGCTCGCCAGAATCGACACCCCGCCAAAGGCAATGCTGCAGTAGTACACCCACGGGTACGCCCTTACGTACGCCTCCTGGCTGGCCGCCACGATCACCGCCCAGCTCTCGTCCGTAACGCCAGGCAACATGTGAATCTCGTCCACCAGCGAGGCACCCGTCAACTCGATCGCTGCTCCGATGGTTTCCCTGTTGGTAATCCCGCTCTTGATGCACGCGCCAATCACGGATTCCGTAAGCTGCGGAACCAGCTTCTGGATGAACACGTTGTAGTAAACCGTGTATCCGATCACCCCGCCGACGATGCGGATAGAGATGGTCAAGGCCGTGATAGTGGCAATGAAGTCCCTCGGCGCGATGATGGTGGCGATGGTCGAGGCGGGCACGACGATGCCGCCGACGCCCAGGCCGGCGATGAAGAGAACCAGGTACATGGTGTGAATGTTGTCAAGACGGGCGGATGCGAGGGCGCCGCAGCCGGCTGTCATGATGCAGCAGGTGAGGAGGACGATCCATTTGATGTGGCGTGGGAAGCGCGAGAGGAGGTAGAGCGAGATGACGCAGCCGGCTAGGATACCGAAGGGAAAGGGCATGCCACGGAAGCCGACGCCGTAGGGACTGATTAGATGGTTGAATGTTAGCGGTTCAGCTCGACTCACGAGAGATAGGAGGCGGTGAAGGTGTTTGGAGGGGAATCCATACGTGTTTCCATAGACATTATAGGCTTCGCTCGGCCACAACATCAAAACAGAAAAGAAGTTAGCGCCGGATATGAAGGTGATAATCATGGTTATGATGAGTGTCCGAGGTGCAGGACCCAAGTCTCTGGGAATCATGGGAGCTTTGGCTCCCTTGTATTCCCACAAGCCAAAGATGATGAGTACGAGGAATCCCAAAATCAAGGGAGCCAAGACTCTTGCACTTGTCCATGGATACTAGAAAATGTTTGTCAATCACCCGGTAAAGAGCATAGAGAAAACGGGATAGTAATGTGCCTGTCACTAACCTGATATCCGCCGCCCAAAAGACCAACTTCCAGCAGAGCCAGCCCAGCAATAGAGAGGAAACCACCAACCACATCCATATCCTTCAAGAGCGAAAGCTTTTGTTTCCAGTTGAGATCCTCTGTAGGCGCAGGAGGGTGGTAAAAGAGCGCTGTCATAACAAGGCCGACCAACGCCCACCCGCCAGTAAGAATCGAGATATACCTCCAAGTCGAGAAGGCCGAGATGATCTGGGAGTACATGACGGAGGGCAAAAGAGGGACGATGGTGAGAATCATGCCGGCAATGTAGTAGCCACGATGCGCACAATAGGGCGAGTTCAGCTGTTCCCGCGAGGGCTGTGAGCTCGTTGATACCGGTGCCAATTCCAGTGAGAGCCATTCCGCCTAGATAGAGTATCAATCAGTATGGAGTACTTGATCGGTATTAGGAAGGACTCTGTCCGCAGTGGACTTACCAATAAAGATGTCCATAATCTCGGCAACACCACACATGATCTGGCCGACAACAATCAAGCTGCTGCCGGCCAGAGCAACCCAACGGCGTCCAAACACATCTGAGAAACGGCCAACAAAAGGAGATATGGCGGCAGTGGCGAGTAGATGAGCGGTGATGAACCAGACCCAGTGGTCAACTCCTCCAAGATCTCGGTAGATGAAGACAGGTACGGCAGCTGGTAGACAGGTTAACTGGATGTTGACTTCAACTTGGAGCAGCACATCAATGCCGTCTTACCGAACAGATACAGAGGTGCTTGCGCATTGGTCCAGCAGCAGGCTAAAGCCGCCAGAGCCAACACTTTGCGGACACTCAAACGCTGAGCATGATAAAGTCAGTAAAACCGGCATAGAAGGATTGACGAAGATATCTCCTACACTGGCATCTCCATTGTGTTGCTCAGAATCTGTCGAGGTGCTTGAGGCTTGATGGCCTTCGTCGAGGGGTTTTGCTGTGTTGGCTTGGGTGCCTTCGGCCTTTTCCAGAGCAGAAGCGGAGTTGTGAGCCAGGGCCTTCTCGGCCGAGCTTCCAGTCGAAGCCTTATTCTTCTCGTTCGAGGACATGATATTTGCTTGTTGCACTGGCGGCTATTTGCTGAGTCTGTCGAGTCCACCAGGTATTTGAGTTCAGACACCTCCGGCCGCAATTGGACGACCTTGACGACAGTGATGTCGGTGCGGTGTCGGGTGATTGGAAGTGCCGGCGGGCTCCTTTGTGCAAAATAAATCCTCGGGAATTGTGAAGAGACGGGAATTCCTGGTCCACTCAGGCAACAGTAGAGCGTCCTAGTGAATGGCGTTCCGGTTACCAGAAGACGGGATGCCGGCAGGTTCTCAGTTAGCGGCACCAGCTGTTTGCGATTCCGCTCGGGAGGTTAGGTCAGCCAACAAGATCTCGGCTTCGACCCACTGTTGTCCCGGGACACTAGTACGTAGAGTAGGTAGAATTCCCAGGGTCTGTTTCCGATGAAGTTGGGTAAAAGTACCATCTTGACTGCGGAAGGTGCAACTCTCGTGGTGGTTGGGGACAACTGTCCGGGCAAAGGTGAGCCTGGCTGACCTTGGCGGCGCATCCCCGTAGCCGTACACCGAACACTTGCAAGATTGGGCGTTAAGGATACGAAAAGCAGCAGACAGCCCAAAGAGATGGTGCATTGTTTCAACGGCCGTTGCCCTTCAGAGACTTGCTGGCTGCTATCAACCGACTGGGTAAGCCATAGACCGCCTGGGAGAGTTCCGTGACACAAAGATATTCTGTGCGACCCAGATGGGATGAGATGTATAAAATTGGCTGCAAGTCCCAATGAAGAAGCAGGGGTTGTTGCACTCACACACCCCGTATCCGCTGCCTTGAGGTTAATCTGCCATGCATTGAAGCAGTTGCCATCCGTTCTTGTCCTGCGACACCTGGGTCCACGGGGCAAAAGGTAGACCAAAGACCTGCTGCTCCAAGCCTGCGTGGCGCTTCAGCTTCCGGGCAAGGGCATGCACGCAATATAGACTGCATACCGGTGGTCACAGGTTAGCACTTTGGGAGATGATTAAGGTATAGCTCGGTGTTGGAGCCGTGCTACCTCAACTGGCTCCGATTCCCGACTTGATATGGACCGTGGGGAATTCGTGAGAAACACAAAGCTACCACAATATTGCTTAGCGGTAGGACCGTGTGCCAAAGAGCAGCCGTTGACAGGTGAGTTCCGACGCTGTACTTGCCCTGGGCCGGCTCGGTCTGAACAACCGTTGTGTGCCCCTAGTTAGGCCTCGCCTCGTACCACCCGCACGAGGATGAGACTGGTGTGTGCGGTGAGTGGGTGGCAGGGTAATACTATTTCCAGTTAATCCGGGGCCGTACTGGTCATCTGGCTCATTCTGTACCCTTTGCTCCGTGGTATTGATTATGTGCGGGAAGTGATAACGAACCGCGCTCCGAGCTGGACTCGGTTGAGGCTCCCGTTCTCTTTTGCTGTAGGCTAGAGGAATGAAGATAGGAGTTATGCATACTTATGGGAAGGCTGATACAGGTAACAGCAAATATCCCGATGTTGTTAAGAACCAGGTGTTCGCCGTGTCTGCATACAAAGGAGTGGGCTTGTGATGGCTGATGTTGATGTCGTTGACGAGATAAAGGTGGCTTCACGATCTCGGAACTCCGGAACACCCAATGATAGCCATGGTAGAATTATCCGCCGGCTGTCTCCGTCACGTCGATTTGAACGCGGCAGCAGCCGCGCTGGATCTTGTTTCCCAACGTCGTTGGACGGACGGATATTTTTTGGGTAGGCTGGGCCGGCATGTTTGTTGTTGTCTGTGTTACCGTCGAGTACCGTACGTTCATGTGACCAAGGGAGTTAGACTGACGAAGAATGGGATTCCAACCGAACCTGGCCATATGAACGGAAGCCCAATGTGCTATGGTCCCCTTTTCCCCAACCTTCGCCCTTCCCAGTTAGCCACACCTACCTTTACCCCTGAGCGACCACTTTAAACCTAAAAGTACCGGAAACCATCAGCTACGAAGAAGTTACCACGAACACGTTCCACTGTCATACCTTCCCCTTCGAGGTTCTTGCATCATCTGTTACAGGTCCGGCGAACCTTAACTTTAATCGTAGTTGAAGCGATACGCTGGTGACTCGTGGTTGGCGGTGAGTGAAGAGGTTGAAACTTTGGTGCCACGAGTTATGATTCAGGAGTGGCGCCTTGAAGGTACAAATCACCTCAGTGAAATGATTGCATGAGACGCCAACAGCGTTCTTTAGCCAAGTAACTAGGCTTCATCTTGGTCAGTAAGGTCATCTTTCAAGTCCAGGTGTCGTGTATGAGTCCGTCTAGTCCATTCCGGTACAAGCAAAAAGACTAGTATTATGATGTTTTGACTTTGGAATCACTGGTGAGTGGCATCCCGCCAGCCATGGAGAGATATCAGCGGTTACATACTCTGACCATCTCAATTTAGGCTTTGAAGGGGTGGAGGTTGGCCACGG